CAGAGTCTGTTATATGGAATGTACTGTCTTCTGGCTTGAGGTCTCCTACATATTTTTTGAGCAGTGACAAATGAAACACAAGATGAATGCTTGTTCCTGGGGGCATCTTGAGCCAATATGCAATGGACCCAATCTTTGCTTCAACTTGGAACGGACCACATTACTTAAGAGCCAACTTGGAATGCTTGTTCCAAGATGTTCTTTCAGTTTTCTTACTATTCGCTAATAATTTCAACCAATTATATGACTCTACTATTGTCCCTCAGCATTTTGCTCATTTCCTTCCTGGTCTTTACCAACTCTTCCAATTCTGCCACTTGTGTTTCCTTGGTCATCTGTTCAGTAATGAGGGGAAGCAGGTAGCGATACAAGGTAGTGAAAGGAGGCATGTTAAGGTTGATTTGGTAGATATAATTTGAAAATTTTAGAAAAAAAATTTTAATTTTATTTTTTGATACTTCTTGTGACATTACAATCGAAGTATATATACAGAATTCTTATTTATAAATAAAGAAATTTACATTATTATAAGGATTCTAATTAATTCTACTAATTAATTACATCATTATAGAAAAGATTACGAAAATGATTATAAAGTAAAAATATCTCAATTAATGGAGCAACATAATATTTTAATCAATACTCTCCCTCAAATTAGTGAAAAAACATCACAGATATCCAGCTTGCAGACCATGTTATGGAAAGATGTTGCAAAATTAAAACATTTACCACCTAGTCAATGCTGGAACGAGCAACTACATTCTACTTCTTTCTTTACTAAGTAACCAGGTTGTTTTCTACCAGTGTGCAATAATTAGTATTTAACCCTCTATCATCTAGAGATCCTACCCAATGGAGGCTGAAAAGATGCTGCAAACTTGAAGAAAATCACCCAAAACAAATATGTCCAATGATGAAGCGGCAGCAGACACATTGGCAAGTGTAGTGGCACTCGAAAAACAGAACCAGAGAAGGCATGTCGACTCGGCGCATGGAGAAACTAGATCTGAATGGCTCGCAGAAAGGAGCAGATGAGTCGTCTTCGTGCATCGCGGAACGCAGCGAAAGCTCAGCCGCGTGAAGGAAGGCTGAAGATGCACAATTTGAGCCTGATAACGTGCGATAAGGCCAAATCTGTCTCGATCGGGAGTTTTTGGCGGCGTCCCGACAATTTTCAGGCCAAATGGAGCTTTGTTGGTGGCGCGTATGGCTCATGCGCTTCTGCTGCTGGCGGCATATGTGGCTCACACACGAGGAAAACGGTCATCGGATTCTAGGGAGCAGGCCAGTGGTGAGCTGCGACTCAGTCTAGTTAGGTGGTGAGATTAGATCTTGATAGGGGAAAATGGCCACCGGATTCTAGGGAGCAGGCCGGTGGTGAGCTGCGACTTAGTCTGGGTAGGTGGTGAGATTAAATCTTGATAAGTGGGTACCAACTCAACCTATTGTGATATTTTAGGGTTTAGAAAAAAATCCTTAAATTAGAACCCCAAAACAACCTTATTTTGGCTCCGATACTATGAAAATTTTGGAAAAAAAAATATTAACTTTATTTTCTAATATTTCTTATGACATTACAATTGGGGTATATAAACAGAATTTCTATATATGAATAAATAAATTTACATTATTATAGAAATTTTAATTAATTTTACTAAATAATTACATCATTATGAGAAAGATTATGGGAATGATTATAAAATAAAAATATCTCAACTAGTGGAGCAACAAAATATTCTACCCAACACTATTACCCACCATTTTACTAGGCTC